ACTTTCCCATTGCAATATATCTTTTTTAATTTTCTGGTTTCTGGTACCAAGAATGTTGATTGTGGAGCCAAGCAAATTAAAGTTGTGAAAAATCTCAATCTATTCACCATCCATTATGATACTACCAATTGGTCCAGTGGTGAGAATCTTTGTTGTCTTGATGTTGAGCCTCAATCCAGACTGAAGCCTGCAGTCCCTCGCCTTCCACAGCAAGCACTTCAGGTCCTCAGTTTCAGCAAGCAGGGTTGTGTCATCTGCCTAACGTAGATTGTTGAAGAATCTTCCTCCAATCCTGATGCCATATTTCTCTTCATAGAACCCAGCCTCCCAGATAATATGTTATGCATAAAGATTGAAAAAGTATGGAGATAGGACACATCTCTGGCATACACACTTCTCAATTTTGAACCATGCAGTGTTTCCTTGCTCTGTTCTGATGACTGCCTCCTGTTCCAAGTATAGGTTTCACATTAGCATGATCAAGTGTTCTGGAATTTCCATTCTTTTCAGAGTCAGCCGCAGTTTGTTGTGATCCACACAGTCAAAGGCCTTTGCATAGTCAATGAAACACAGATAGACATTCTTCTTGTACTGCCTGCTTTCAGCCAAGATCCATCTAACATTAACTACAATATCCTTAGTACCATTACCCCTTCTAAACCCAGCCTGCACTTCTGGTAGTTCTCTGTTGATGTGCTTTTGGATAATCTTCATCAGAATTTTGCTTGCATATGATATTAATGATATTGTTTGACAATTTCCACTCTGTCGTATCACCTTTGTTGGAATAGGAACAAATATAGATCTCTTCCAGTCATTTGGCCAAGTGATTGTCCTCCAGATTTCTTGGCACAACTTGGTGAGCACATCTAGGGCAGCTCTGTTAGTTGAAATATGTCAATTGGTATACCATTAATTCCTGGGGCCTTATTTTAATGCAGTTCTTTCAAAGCAGTTTGACCTTCTTCCTTCATCATCACAGGCTTTTGTTCATATGTTGTTTCATGACATTCTTCTATGTCTGCCAATTCCTCTTTTTATAATGACTCTGTATATTCTTTCCATCTTCTTTTAATACTTCCTGGATCATTTAATATTCTGCCCAAAGCATCCTTAAGTATTACAACTCAAGGCTTGAATTTCTTCTTTAGTTCCTTGAGCTCAAGAAATGCTAAGCAAGTTCAACCCCTTTGATTTTCTGAATTTAGCTCTTAGCACATTTCATTATAATACTTTACTTTGTGTTGTAGCTCTGCCTTTTGAAATCTTCTGTGAAGCTCCTTAATGTCTTGATTTATTCCCTCTGCTTTGGCGTCTTGGTGCTCTAGTGCAATATTCAGAGTCTCTTCTGACATCGGTTTTGGTCTTTTCTTCCTCCTCTGTCTTTGCAATGACCTTTTGCACTCTTCCTGAATGATATTCTTGGTATCTTCCTAAAACTCATCTGGTCTTCACTCATTAGTGTTCAAGGCCTCAAATATGTTCCTGAGATGGTTATGAAATTCAGGTGGGATAGACTCAAGGTCATATTTTTATTCCTGTGGATTCAGTTTCATTTTCCTTAGCTTGAACTTGCATATGAGTAGTTGGTGGTCTGTTCCACAAACAGCTCCTGGCCTAGTTCTTTCCACAGATGTAATCTGTCTGATTCCTATGCATACCATCAGGTGAAATCCATGTGTATAACATGTGTTTATGTTTCTTCTAAAATGTATTTGCAACAAATAAATCATTTGATTTTGCAAAATTCTATCATCCTATCTCCAGCTTCATTTCTGTTACCAAGTCCACGTTTTCCAAATACTGATCCTTCTTCTTTGTTCCCAACTTTTTCATTTCAGTCACCCATTATTATTAATGCATCTTGATTGCATGTTTAATCAATCTCTGACTACAAAAATTGGTAGAAATCTTTTTCCTCTTATTTGGTTCAGGTTGTTGGTGCATATATTTGAATGCTAGTGGTATTCACTTGACTTCATTGTTGTTGTTGATTGCCATCAAGTTGAGGTTGACTCATAGTGACTCTATGAACAAAAGACCTCATGCCTTTCCATAGCTATCATTGTTTCTCCAAGTTTATGAACTTGTTTGCCCTAGAGAGGGTGAAACCAGACTGCTCCTTGGATGCAAAGATTCTGAAGCCTTGTCTGACATTCTTTTGGTGTGTTTCAAGGAGGAACTAGTCCTTGGAGAGGGACATTATCTTTGGGAGGGTGGAGGTACACCACAAGAGAGGAAGATCCTCAATGATTGATTCAGTGACTGGGATAATGGGGGTAGGTGTATCAGAGACAATAAGGTTGGCTCAGGATAGAACAGGGTTAAGAGATGTTGTATAAAGGTCACTAGGAGTCGCAGGTGACTTAAAAAATATTGAAGGTTAATTATTCTCACCATCCTAAAAAAGGAGAAAATTTATCATCTTTATTTCTAATTTTCTCTCATTTTTCATATATTTTTGAAAATTACTGATTATTATAGCTTCCGATATTACTTTAAATATCACATCTTTATTTTTAAAATGCTCCTTTCATATAAGATGCATTAAGAAGCAATTTGATTGTCAACAAAATTGTCACCTTTTCTCTATATTTTACTTCATTGTTTGATATTCTTTTGTATAGCCTCTGCCATCCTGTTTTATTGGATTCCCTTTTAGTTTCACTGTTGCATCTCAGTATTTTCTTTCCTAGAATTGATTCTTTCTGACCTTTGAGTCCTTGCTTAATGTATATTTATTTTACTTCACATTTGAATTACAGAACGTTAAAGGCATTGCTTCATATTCTTCTAGGTTATAGTATCACGAGAGCTCTGAGTGAAAGGTATTAAATTTACTTTTTTGGTAACTTGCTGTTTATTTTCTTTCTAGAAGTTTCAAGACAACCCTTTTATCCTTGGGTTTGATAATTTCTTTCCATTTCACTCTAGGTACGTTTGCCTTTTGTGGATCCCCCTCAGATTCCAGTTTTCTTGTTTAACCTCTGATGAACTTTTAAAATTACTTGATTCAGTATTTTCTTGGCAAAATATTTTTCTATTACCTTTATCTCCTCTTACCACCATTTTTTATTCCTCTCATTTGTATATGTTGGCTTCCCTAGATTTGTCTTCCAGGTTTCTTAACTTTTCTCTCATAATTTAAAAAAAAAAAAAAACCTCCCACTCCTTTTACTCTGTTTAGGTGTTCTTATTCCATCTTTCCTCTCCTTCCATCTCTTCTCTTCTACCTCTCCTTTCCCATCTTCCTTCCTCTTTCCAGACAACTAATCTGTAGAGTGCTCTGGTGGTGGCCTAATGGACAAGGAGTGGGCAGGCAATTTGAATCTCTGGGAGAAAGAGGGGCAGTCTCCTCTTGTTTGATGTAAAGTCTTGGAAGACCTACTGGGCAGTCAGCTGTGTGTCAGCTTCATCTCAATAGCAGTGCACAACAACGACAAGAGTTTAATCTGTATTCTTCATTGTTATTATAGAAATTATTTGCAAGAATTCTCAAATTTTTTCCCCCCTACATTGATGCCATTTCTTCCCCCCACCCCACCCCCTGCGCCATCTTTAATTTTACTGAAGGTTTACAGAGAAATTGGCTTTTCCTTCTTCTTTTATTGGTGTTATTGGCTGTATAAACCTGTTGTCTTTTTTGGTTAGGTGTTTCAAAGTCAACCCTGATGGCTGCCGTATGGGCTGTGCCATCCCTGTGCTTGTTTGTGCCCCATAAAGTTTTCATTTGCTCAGTTTTGTAAGAAAATCCAAAAGCCTTTCTTGCTAGTCTGATGAATGCTAATTTGAAGGCCTTGAAAATTCTCTTCTACTCCCTGCATTATCTGGGTGTTATGGTTTTTTCTCTGCTCATTTTGTTCTTTTTAAAACTATGTGATAATTCCTGGCTTTTTGATAGTTTCTACTGATCAGTATTTACTAATCTGTAGTTGGCCTATCTTGCTAATATTAGGTTCCTTAACAACTAATTATATCTTTTCCCAGTGGACTTATATCTATATTGAGGGATGAGGAGCTGATTCTAGGTTTTGAGTTAGTTTATTCCCTCAGGAGCATCATAGGAAGTAGGCAGGATGACATCTTCTTTAGTTATATAGAGTGTTAAAGCCATCAAGTCAGAACTGCTTCATAGCTGACCCTCCAGTGAGGTTTACAAGGCTATAAATCATAGGAGGAAACTATGTATCTTTTTCTTGTGCAGCAGCTGGTGAATTCTTAGTCACTTACCTTTAATTTGGCAGTGTAACATGTTGACCCACTAGGCCATCAGAGCTCCTTGTATGTGAAGAGTCCCTGTTGTTGTTGGTAGGAGCCTTCGAGTTGACAGTTGGCTATGACTTAAAATACCCTTGCATTGAACATACAGATTTGAACCTTGTCCTCTCGATCTCTGATAGACTTGAGCCCATTGTTAGTCACTGTGTCAGTTCAAATTTATCTTTTTGGGTAGTCTTCCTCTCTTTCTCTGACCCTCCACGGCTGTGAATATGAAGTATTTTTCCAATGACTGACAGGTCCCTCCTAACAACATGCCAATTTACAGGAGATGAAATGATGTGGTTAGGAGGCATTTATTATAGATAATAAAGCATCTTTCATTCCTAGGCTGACCACGCCCACCCTCCTCCCCCATTTTCTTTACTTTCTTCCACAGTTGTGGAGCCTAAAACTACTTCATGGTTTTGTTTTGTTTTGTTTCGTTAATACTCTCTACATAGGGATCCTGGTAAAATTTTTTTTATCATTCTTATTTGGTGATTTTGGTAATTGTCGGAGTAGAAGCCATTCCTGCCAACAAGTACCTTCTGACTCATAGTGACCCTCCATTGAGTTTCTGAAGCTGTCATTTTGTATGGGAAGACATTGTCCATCTTAGCACTACAGAGAACTGGTGGATTTGACTTGCTGACCTTTCATGGTGCACAATATGTAATGCACTACACCAAATATGGTATTCGCTTTCTGCTGTTTAATTTTTATTTTTCTTTTCTTACTAGTGCTGAGTATCATGACCGGCTAAGTAAAATTAACAAGTTGAAGAACAGATATGGAATTCTTACTGTGGTCATGCAGCCTCCTGAAGGAGAAGAGAAAACACAAGCATATTATGTCCTAAAGGTATGTTGTTGTTGTTGTTAGGGGGTAACATTGAGTTAGAGCAACTCACAGCTGCCCCTCCAGTGGGTTTTCAGAGGCAGTTAATCTCAAGAGAGGCGATTACCCATCTTTCTTCTCTGGAGCAGCTGGTAGGTTCAAACCACATGCCTTTGGGTTGGCAGCACAACTCCTTACCACTGAGCCACCAGAACTCCCTGGAATCGTAATTGATTTACAACTGTGGTGGTAAAAAGTAGCTTTTTTATTTTTTATTCTCCAGTAACTCATTCATAGTAATCCTTTGGATTGAAAAGAACAGAAATGGTAGTATATTCATTTATTGCATCTAGCAGCTATTGCACTTAATCACAGCCATAATTAAATGGATCGATAGAGGCACTGACGCTGGTTTTAGACACCTCCTAGAAGTGATGTCCAAGTGCTGCTCTCTAATTTCTAAAACCTATTTGTTAACTCGGTCCAAATCTTTTGAGATTCAGGTCATTCTATCTGAGCATTATTTGACATTCCATTTTTCCTTTTGGTATCACTATCAACCATGTCATATGATTTTCCCTCATTAATTCAAGATTCATAATCTCTTTTCTGCCAAAACTTGTTCACCTATGGTGCCTTTGGCCACTGTGTGACAGCCTGCTAAGCACTTCATATACAAAGCTTGTATCACCATTGCTACATTCCCATGGTCACACCGTGGACCACATCTTCTCGTGCTACCAAAAGAGACCTAAGAAACAAAGTTCTGTTGCTGATGAGGTGATGTTGACTTGGTAATCCTATAGGATGAGCAGAACTGCGTGGGGTTTCTAAGGCTGTAGTTGTTAAGGAAGCAGCCTGCTATATATTTCTCCCACCGAGTGTCTGGTGGGTCCACAGTGGCCTTTTGGTTAGCAACCAATCATTTTGCCCAATGTATTGGCAGAGATCTTGCTCTAGAACTATACTGCCTCTAAAATTGTAAACTCTTAACTTACTCGCCCACCTCTGGTATGCCTGCTTTTCACAAAGGAAAGCTGCTCCCTGTCTTCATATTGTTTGGAAGTCAGCCAAATGAATCTGCTGTTTTTTTCTTCTTCTCATTTTATGTTTGAGAGTTGTCTATCATTTCATTTTATCTTTACATTATGACCAGAAGAGAGAAGTCCTAAGTGATCTGAATACCATTCCCTTTCTGGATAGCGCCAGTGTCACCTTTCTCACATAGAAAATACCCTGAGCTGATGTGATGTTTTTGCCAAAAGGTCTATGAAGTTGTTAAAAAACTTTATGTAAATTCTAACTTATTTTTTTGTACTATCCATGGTTCTAAATAGCTCTGACACTCTAGTGGGAAGGAGTCGTGCTACCAACTCCAGAGCTCCACGAGCTGCTCCGTGGGAGGAGAGTGGGCAGTCTGCTCCTGAAAAATGTAAAAACCTGCTGGAGGGCCAGCTATGAATGAGTTCTGACTCTACATACAACAACAATCTCCGTGGTTCTAGGAAGCTCTGGGGGCACAGCCCATACGGAGTTTCACTGCTGACTCAAAGGTGGTGTCTCTGGTAGTTTGTACCAGTGGTTCCATGAGCAAAAGTTGGACAGTCTCCTCCTTTGTGATTCACAGCCCTGGAAACCCACTGCAGGGTCACCCGTGTGTTGGTTCCATTTTGACAACAATTAATTTGAAGGTCTTTTTATATATGGTTAGGGGAGCTCTGGTGGCCTCGTCCGTAGGGAGTTATGCAAAGGCCATACCTCTCTGGCAGTTCAAATCTGCCAGTGGACGGATGGTCTTCTCCCGTGAGATTTAAAACCTCAGAAACACAGTGGAGGATCAACTAGGAATTGGTTCTGATTTGATAGCAATACAAGTTTTGAGAGATAGGTGCTTTGAAGTAAAAAGGAAGATCTCCCAAATTACATCTCCAGTAGATGACCAACATCTTCCGACCTCCGTCTACTTAATCTCCTAAATTTCCTTCTGAAGCCTGTCCTCTAATATGCTCATGACATATATACTAAGTGTGGTATGCCATTTTGCCTCGGGAAATTCCACATAATCTTTATGGGAAATCAATCTCTTGATTCATTTTATTACTTCTCAGACTATGAGATTATTTCAGTTCAACTAAGTTTCTTTACCAATAAGGGCTGTGATCAGTTAGTTAAAAGCAGGATCATAGACTGCCTTTGTCTCGATCTGTTTGGGGACAGCCATTAACCAGGTGGGTGACCCTGAAGAGCAACTACATCAGGCTGGAGATTAAGGTGCGCCTGATCCAGGCTATAGTCTTCACAATTACATGCTATGCATCAGAAAGTTGGACAGTGAATAGGGTTGATAGAAAGAGAATTGATGCCTTTGAGCTGTGGTGCTGGAGACGAGTGTTGAATGATATACCATGGACTGCTAGGAGAACAAATGGGTTTGTCCTGGAGAAGGTGAAACCAGAATGTTCCCTGGAGTCAAGGATTCTGAAACTTCGTCTGACATACTTTGGGCATGTTGCAAGGAGAGACTGGTCCTTGGAGAGGGACATCATGTTTGGCAGAATGGAGGGGCAGCAAAGGAGAGGAAGACCTTCGATGAGATGGATCGATTCTGTGACCGGAGTGGTGGGAATAAGTGCGTTTAAGATGGCTAGGTTGGCACAAGATAGAACGGCATTTAGAGGTCTTGTACTTAAGGGTCACAATGAGTTGCAAATGACTCGATGGCACATAACAACAACAACAATAACAATAAGCCCATACCATGTTTTATTAGATGTACATTATTCACCCATTTCACATCTTTCTAAATTTTAAAAAATTGGGGAAATGTTATTCCTGGCCCTCTTTTGGGCCAGAAACACTTTTTCTTCTGATCAGAAATCGATTTTCAAACTTACTGTTACTTAATTTTATTTCTCTTTCCATTGAAGTTTGTATACCTGCCTAATTTTCTGGCAGTGTTCACTGTAGACGTTCATGTATGCTTTGATTAGTTATATTTGTTGAGAACTATATTCTGAAGGCCTGAAGATTTTGTTTTCTACTCTAAATGAAGTGTAGGAAATAACGATCTTTTTTTGTAATATGATGTGTAGGCCTGAGGCAAACTGCTCTGCTCAGAGTTTACTACTTTCTGCCCTACAGGCATTTTCTTCCCCCATAATACATATTTTTATTTGATTCGGTTTTGTTCTTTATTTCATAGGCTTCTCAAGAAAGAGAAGAACTTCAAAGAGAAGGTGATAGTTTGGATGCTAAGATTGATAAAGCTGAAAAAGAAATCTATGCTCTGGAAAACACCTTGCAAGTGTTGAACAATTGCAACAATAATTATAAACAATCTTTTAAGAAAGTGACTCCATCTAGTATGTAGGAATTATTAAAATATTTTTATGAATATATATGCAATTTAAACTTTATTTTAAAGAGAAAAATACATGATACATGAAAATCAAACATGTGTGATATTAGCTTATGTCGGAAAGCAGCTAATTCCTCCATTTTTTTGTAAGTGGCATCTAAGGTGTTATTTACATTGTTAAATCTAATGTTATAGCTCACTTCTCTTGGGAATTAATTTCAAATTTGAAAATAATTGCTGCATACTGTTGCTCTATGTTTACAAGACAAGAAATGGGTATTATGTATTATTTTTCCACCAGAAGAGAAAAGGAAATTAACGTTTCATAAATAAAATTGCTAGAAATATTGAATTTAGTCATACACACATAATTTTTTAAGATTGATTGCTACACAGTAAGTTGAAAATGTAAAATATAAACTCTCTAAATTCTAGGTGAGGAGTATGAGCAAAAAATCCAACTAGAAGAACAAAAAAGAGCTATTGAAGAAAAATACAGATATAAACAAAGACAAATCCAAGAAGTTCAGGAAGATATCCAGGTAACTTCTGAAGACTCTGTAGTAGGAAGCCCTCAGAAAAAGACAACTATTCTTATAATTCCACCCACTTTCTTCTTACTCTGACTCATGGTGATACCGTGTGTGGCAGAGCTGAACTGTGCCCCACAGGGCTTTCAGTGACTGGGGGATTTGATTATTTGGGTTTTTTATCATGATTAGGTCATCCAGGCTTTGTTACAAGGTGTCTCTGTTATTGTTATATGCTGTCAAGTCCACTACAACTCATAGAGACCCTAGGGATAGTAGCATTGAACCCTGCCTTATCTTGAGCCAAGCTTACTGTCTCTGACACACTCAGTGCCATTGCCATAGGGACTGTGTTAATCCTTCTCATCCAGGTTCTTCCTCTCCTGCACTGAGGCTCAACCTTCCCAAGCATAATATACTTCTCCAAGGACTCTTATCTCCTGCTAACATGCCCAGAGTATGTGAGATGGAGTTTCACAAAATTGACTTCCAGAGAACAAGCTGGTTTTACCCTCTGCAATACAAACCTGTTTCTTCTCTTGGCATTCCATGGTATCTTTAATACTGTTCTTCAGCACCACAACTGAGAGGCATTGATTCTTCTTCCATCATCCTTAGGCTTGTCCAGTTCTCAGTTACATAGTAAGTAATTGTGAAGACCATGGCCCGACTCAGGCACACCTTAGTCTTTAGACTGGCATCATTCCTCCTTAGCACTCTCAAGAGGTCCCTGACAGCAGACTTTCTGAATGCAGTTTGTCTTTTGATTACCCGACTGCTGTTGTCAAGAGTGTTGTTTTTGAATCTCAACAAGATGAAACTGTTAATAACTTCATTCTCTTCCCCATCTTTCATGATGCTGCCTATTGGCCCAGTGGTGAGAATTGATTTTCTTGATGTTGAGATGTAATCCATATTGGAAATTGCAGTCCTTGACTTGAAGCAAATGCTTCAAATCCTGCTCAGTTTTGGCAAGCCAGGTTATGTCATCTGCATGATGCAGGTTGTTGATGAGTCTTCAGCCAACCATGAAGCCACATTTTTCCTCATAAAGTCTAGCCTCCTAAATGATCTATTCCACACATAGATTGAAAAGGTATGAATAAAGGACTCATCCCTGGGGCATTCCTTTCTTGATTTTTTAATCATGTAGTGTCCCTTTGCTCTGTTCTGATGATTGCTTCCTAGTCTCAGTATAGGTTTTGCATGAGCACAATCAAGCATTCTGGGACTCCTATTCTTCTCAAGGCTAGGCACCATTTGACATTATTCTGGTGCTATCTGCTTTAAGCCAATATCTATCTGACATTGGCAATGATATCCCCAGTGCCATGGCTTCTTCTAAACCTAGCTTGTATTTTTGGTAGTTCTCTGTTGATGTATTGTTTCAGTCATTTTCCCATAATCTTCAGCAAGATTTTGATTGTGTGTGATATTGTTCAATAATTTCCACACTCTGTTGGGTTATTTTTTTTTTCAGAATGGGAATAATTGTGGATCTATTCGAGTTAGTTTGCCAGGTCCTTTAGATTTCTTGGCACAACCTGGTGAGCACATCCAGGGGTGCATCTGTTGTTGAAATATGTCAATTAGTATTCCATCAATTCCTGAGGCCTTATTTTTTGCCAGTTCATTCACAGCAGCTTGAATTTCCTCCTTAATCAACATTGCTTCTTGATCACATACTGTTTTATCAAATTCTTCTGTGTCAGCCAATTATTTTTGGTACAGTGACTCTGTGTACTCCTTCCATCTTCTTTGGATGCTTCCTGGATCATACAGTATTCTGACCATAGTATCCTTAAGTATTGCAACTTGAGGTTTGAAATTGTTCTTCAGTTCCTTCAGTTTAAGAAATGGTGAGCAAGTTTGTTCCTTTTGATTTTCTAACTCAACTCTTTGTACATTTCATTATAAATATTTTGCTTTGTCTTCTTGGCTGCCCTTTGAAATATTCTATTCAGCTCTTTAACTTCCTGGTGTCTTCCCTGTCCTTTGATTTCTTGGTTCTATTGTTGCTCAGTCTCTTCTGATGTCCATCTCAATCTTTTCTTCTTCCTCTGTCTTAATAATGACCTTTTACATTATTCATGGATGATGTTCTTTTTTAAAAAAATTATTTCATATTGGTTTGCTTACAAAGTTTGTATACATTGTGTTTCATACTAAATTCACATTGTGTTTTATACAATCATTCCCATTCATTATGTTTTATAAAATTAATATCCATTGGACTACATCCATAATTACCCTGCCTTTTCAGATCCCCACCAGATCTTTCCAATTTCCTTTATCCCCTTTCTCCACCAACCAAATTGTGCAATTCCATGGTTTTTCCCCACCTTATTCTCACCCCTATACTCCCACTCCTTTCCCATTTGGACACCCATACCTGTTTTACTAGTTATCCTTCTATTTTTATAATAATAGTCTTATACAATATTTGTCTTTATGAGACTGAGTGAGTTCACTCAGTATAATGCTCTCCAGTCTCTCCCAAGTTATATAGTATTTTTCAAAAATATTGCTCCTGATTGCTACATAGTATTCCATTGTGTGAATGTACCAAATTCCTCTGTGCATCAGTGTGGTTGGACATTTGGGCTGTTTCCATATTCTTGTGGTGGTGAAAACTGCTGTGAACATTTGTATACAAATCTCCATTTGTGTCTGAGTTCTAATTTTTTTGGGTGTATGCCAAGTAGTGGAATAGGGTAATATGGAGTTTCTATGTTCACTTTTTTTAGGAAATATCAAACTGCCTTTCAGAGTGGTTGTATCATTTTAGGGTTATGCTTGCTTCATAGAATCACTATGGAAGTATTCCTTCTCTTTCAGTTTTTTGAAATAAGTAGAATTAGTGCCAAATCTTCTCTAAATGTTTGGTAGAATTCAGCTGTGAAGCCATCTCTCTGTTACAGAACTTTTCTTATGGGAAAGTCTTTTTATTACCTTTTCAATTTCTTCTCTTTTGATGGGTCTGTTCAAGTGTTCTGTATCTGTCCTTGTCAAACCAGGCAGGGGATGTGTTTCAAGGAATTTGTACATTTCTCTAGGTTTCAAATTTATCAGAGTATATCTTTTTGTAGTATTCTGATATTATTTATTTAATTTCCTCTGGTACTTTTGTGATGTCACCTCTGTCATTTCTAATTTAATTTTTAAAAATTTTATTCGTGTGTGTGTGTGTGTACCATCAAATTGGATGTGACTGATACAGGAGGAGATTGTCCCTCCCTCTGCAGCAGAGCATCTGGTGGATTTGAACTGCATGCTTCTATGATTACAGTGCAGCTTCTTGCCACTAGGCCATCAGAGCTCCCTACCTCTGTCATTTCTTAAGTTATCTGTTTCTTTTCTTTTTCTCTATTGTTATATTTGCCAGTGGTTTGTCAATTTTGGAATGGGAATAAATACAGATCTTTTCCAGGCAGTTGGCCAGGTTGTTGTCTTCCAAATTTCTTGGCAAAACTTGGTGAACACATCCAAGGAAGCGTCTGTTTGTTTCCTGGGGCCTTGGTTTTTTGTCAGTTCTTTCAAGAACAGCTTGAACTTCTTCCTTCATCACCACAGGTTCTTGCTCACATGATGTTTCATGAAATTCTTCTGTGTCCACCAATTCCTTTTGTTACAATAACTCTGTATACTCTATCTTCTTTTAATGCTTCCTGGATCATTTAATATTCTGCCCAAAGCATCATTAAGGATTGCAACTCGAGATTTGAATTTGTTTTTCTTTTTGAATTTGTTTTACTTCAGCTTAAGAAATACTAGTGAATATGGCCCTTTTGATTTTCTGATCCCAGCTCTTTGCACATTTTATTGTAATTTTTCAACTGTTTTTCTGTTTTCTATCTGATTGATTTCAGCTCTTATCCTTATAATTATTTTTTTCTTCTAGAGTTTGAAGATTAGATTGTTGGTCTTTTTCTATTTGCTGAAGGTGTTGAGTTAGATCATTGATTCTTTTTTTGTTCCTTTTTTATATGTCTTGCTATGAACTGCCTCCTGAGGACTGACTGCCTTAGCTGTGTCCCAGAGGCTTTGGTAAGTTGTATTTTCATTATCTTTGGTTCAAGGAACGTTTTTTATTTCATTATTTATTTATTTTATAACTCAATCATGTTCTAGCAGAGTGATTTAGTTTCCACATTGGTGGTTTTGTAAGCTTTACCCTTCTGTGGTTGATTTCTAATTTTATGGCATTGTGGTCTGAGAAAATACTTTGTATTATTTCAATATTTTTTAATTTGTTGAGGCTTGCTTTGTGTCCTAATATACGATCAGTTCTGGAGAATGTACCATGCGTATTTGAGAAGAAAGTGAATTGAGTTTTAGTTGGGTACAGTACTCTGAATACACCCACAAGTTTGAGTTGGCTGATTGTGTAGCTTAGATCTTCTGCATCTTTGTTGAGTTTCATTGAGTTGACCTGTCCTTTGGTGATACTGGTGTGTTGAAATCTCGTATCACTATTGTGATGCTGTCTATTTCTTTCTTCAATTTGGTCAACTGTTGTTTTATATATTTTGCAGGTCTATCATTTGGTGCATAAATGTTGACCCAGGTTATGTCTTCTTGTGCTTTTAATCATTATGTAATGCCTTTCCATTTCTTCAGTGGTGGTTTTCATTCTGAAATCTATTTTATTAGAGATTAATATTGCCACTCCTGCTTTTTTGAAGTTGCCATTTGCTTAGTATATTTCCCCCCAGCCTTTGATTTTGAGTCTTTCATTCTCTTCCTTTTTTTAGATGTGTTTCTCTTGTAGGCAACATATTGATGGGCTTTGTTTTGTTTTTTGTCCATTCTGTTACTTTTCTTCTCTTAATTTGTGCATTTAGTCCATTCACTTTAAGTGTGATTATTGTCAGGCCATGTTTTACTTTTTTTTTTTAATAGAAGTTTACAGAGACTTTGGATTTCCATCCATTCATTGTTACACACTTTTGTCCCTGCCCACCCCTCCCCCCCATTTGCTTTTCTCTTTGTAAAGTAAAAAAAAAATTATT